AAACTGATGTCGAATAAAAATATTTAGTAACATATGTAATGAGATAATAGTGCAATATGAGTACCGTGATACAAAATCACTAATAATTTATAATTATTCCTAACACCATTTGCCTCTGTTATGAAAGAATAGGTATCACTAAACAAATCGCTGAAAATTCTCGTAGCAGTCAACGTGTTAATACAAACTACCCTTTTACCCTCTATCTAAACAATATCATCCCCTCCAAGATCCTCCGAATGAGCAATTCCGCGTAATCTCTTTGAGCGTCGCGTCAGTGACGGAATTGCAAAGGGGTTAATACTGTCCACGTAGGTTCGGAATAGCGCGGAGGGAGAGCGGGAAGAGTCAAAGAAGCGAGAGTAGGTGTGCCCTCCCTTAATGCCCGTCTCGCTTGGCTCCCCTCACGACAGCACGGCTGTCGCGGACGGTCGTTCCGGTTGATGGTTCCGCGTCGGCCGGGCCCATAACCATCCTGTAACGTTCTCGTCGTCGTTGAATTTTGGATAGCTCGGAGGACCGTCGTCTCGGCCACGTCCGACCACTTTTCCTCTTTGGAAAAAGAAGCATGCGCTGCCGGGCAGTTACCCGAACGACCGGCAACGCGACGACAGCGACGCTCCGCGGCGTCGACGGACATTGAACGGCGTCGAAGGAGGCGGCCGAGAAGGGCACCGGGAACCAGGAATTGTTCGTGGTTTTGTCAGCAGGACGTTCCACGAATCCGTGAATTTTCGAACCCGGCGCGTGTCCCAGCCGGACTTCGACGAACTCTTGCCGGATAACGATATCTCCAGGAGGACCCTGACGTGCTCTCCATTCCCAACGAATATTTGTGCTCCGGAGAAATTTTATTCGTACGGGTCCAACGGAACCGTCGCGGATTACATGCGATAAGGCTACGTCGACCTCCTTTCTTCTTTTGCTTCCACTTCCACTTCTACTTCTTCCTACTCTTCTTTTCGGTCCACTGACTTCCTTCCGACCTGATGATAGCGAAGGTTCTCGCGTACCGCTGAGATTCGATGGAATATCGGTATGATATTCGATTTTTGGAAAGACGATGGTACTTTGGTATCTTTCTTTTGGACGATTAAGAAATTGTGAAGTTTAATAAGACTGTGGGGTGTTAACCCTTTGTACTTGATTTATTTTTAATTTTGTTGGGTGTGAAATTATAGTTATTTTTAGGGAAATAAATTAAAATAAGTTACACGGGTAGAATTCAACGTTTTGTATCTATTTTATTTATTATTATTATTATTATTATTATTATAAGATTTAATTTTTATAATTTTCTAATGTGTGGTATTTTTCAAAGTACCACAAATAAAGTATAATAAATTTGTATTATCATCTCCAGCATGACATTCGAGTGCCAAGGATTAATATCGTATGGTATATTTGGTTGAGGTTTTAAGACTTTGTAATAATGTACAATGCGAATTTTAATGTGTCATTCGTTCGACGAGACTTTAAAAGCTTCTCACTCTAGAAAGTAGAATTTCTCCATTATAATCAATGTTTGAGAAATTTAATTTTGAACAAGGAAATCAAATTTTATTTGTGCGAGTTTGTCAAAGTTTTTTGCAGAAAATGATTCTGTAAAATCTTTTGAATAAGATAATTTACATTTTTAATATTATAGACATTTAAACATATTTAAGCAATTTCTGATGTCAGCAAGAACCTTACTCCCACCAATTTGTTGAGGTATTCTAAAAATAGTTTATTATATAATAGTTTACTCTAAAAATGATTTATATTGATGTAAGTGATTTTTAATTTCCAATTCTCAGTTTCTAGAAAATGCAACATTAGAAAATTTATTTCGTCTATAAATAATTTGTATGTCTTTGAAATAATAAAAGTTATAAAGGATTTTATTGTATTATTTATTTATTATATTCATAAAATGTATGAATATTTGTAGTGTTGCAAAAGTAGTAATAGAAGATTTTATGTAAAAGATTATCAGATTACAGGATAAATAAGACTAGAGATACACGGCTGTCGAGGGTTTACGATAAACAGGTGTTCCCAAGAACTAACAGCTTGTGTACGTGCTGCTTCGTGATCCATCAACAAAGAAAATGATTTATCGTATGTATATTAATTACTAGACAAAATACCATGGCATACAAGATCGTGCACGTTTTCGTAACAAATAATAATTTCTTCCTTATCATAATCGATGTATTTATTATGCAACTGAACCATATTTGTAGAAAAGGTTACAAGTGCCAAACTTCAAATTTGTTAGAAGAAAGAAGAAAGTTATAAGAAATAATTCATAACTATTGTACATATCTTTCGATTTTCTTGAAACTTTACTTATATAATCTAAAGAATCATATCTCCTTACAATGTTTATACTATTCCGGTAAGAGTTGTATAATATACTTATTATAATTAATAAAGTATTTTATGGTAAATGTTCAAATACTTTCGTAAGTCACTGTATGTTTAATGGTATTCACTGTCTATAAGCGCGTCATTTGCGAGTGGTAAACAAACAGATAGACGAAGCCCTCGAACTGTCGTCGCGGCATGTTACAACCGTCGTACTGTCAGCGCCGAGTTGAAAAAGGTAAACAGAGGTGACGAGGAAATTAGAAACGCGAAGAGGTTTCGAAGCGTGGGGAATTGACAAAAAGTTTTTTATGAAAATGCTGAGCACGCCGATCGATTTAGATAGGCGGTAGGCATCCACGAAACGGATGGTATATTATATAGTGATATGTTGTTCACAAAAAATATGAAATCTAGAGGGGAGAAAAAATACTTTCGTAAGAAAAATGTGAGTATAAGAATCGGAATATTTCATATATTATTAATTATACTTGAAGGGTCATGAGAAATATTTGAAAGCAAAATATTTTAAATACATATAAAAATAAAATTTCATATAAAAAATGAAATTTAGATAAGAAAAATATTTCTATCTTAATACTTCAAAACAGAAAGTGAAATATTTTAATCTTGTACTTCAAGCCTGTAGTTAAAATATTTTTTACCAATAAAAGTCATTAAGAAAAGAAGTGATACTATTAAGCAAACAGTTAACTAGTATTTGAAAAGTGATATTATTTTTTAAATGGTTATATTACTCGTCAAAGCCAATTTATTTTTAATTTCACTTACTTTTTAATTAATTATATACTGAAAGAAAGAAATGCTATAAATATTGGTAATTAGACTGTGAATCATTATAAAACAAGGAGTTGAAGTTTCTCGAAAATGGAATTTTAAACAAAAAAATTTAGTTTTTATATTATAGACTAATTTCTATTTAAATAACGATCTCCGTTTCGGTTGTATAACAGTTTCGGGTATACTGTGTACATGTACACGTGACAGCACATCCATCATCGTTTGAATATTTTACTTTACTCTAGTTAACGACCGAGGGTTTGCGCAACGATTGACTGTGAGAACGTATAGATTGATATCTTTCATGATTCATTATATTTAACGGTAGTTACTTCCTGGTATACACTTTTCAAGGGGATATTTATTCATCTAACAAGTTTATCCTCCCTATCTATGTAACATTTTCATCGTTAACTGAAATCTCGATGCTATTAACCTCTTGCTTTATGTTTTCATTTGTAACTCTGTTCGTCAGATCTATTTGCCTTATGATTTATTTCCTGGTTATATTTGCAAGAGTCACTTAACTGTTAATCATTCCTAGATAAGAATTAAATTAAACACATAATAGTATTTCTTTTCAATTTATGTGGGTTTAGAAGAACTTGATTAAAATAGTAATTTGTTACATGAAAGAGGGACTCCATGTTCGTTGTAATTGTACGTTTACTTTAGAGAATTGATGAACATTAATAACAGAAGAAGGAACGTTCAAAATGTAGGTGTACCCATTGCTAGATTTTGATCTTAATACATTAGGCTATAATAAAGTACAGATTTTGAAATTATTCAGAAAATTAAAGTATACATTTCTGAAAAATCATTTCGTATAAATACAAATACGTTGTACTATTTACATGTAACGCATTTGATCGATTAAATGAATTTTATATTTATTTCCAATGATAAAATTATCGTACAAGTTAGTATTAACTAGCTCTTTCCGGCGCAGTACTTGAAAGAAGAGAAATTATCGTTTCAGGAAAGGATTTATTATGTTCAAAGATCACAATTCGTTATCCAGTTTCCGGGTGATACGTTCGATTTATTAAGCATTAACTCAGTTATTTCAGCACAATTCTGGGATTAACTCGCCGACCGTACCTCCGGAGTCAGCGTCAAGATTAAGCTGATTTCACGGTTGAGTAGCTTCACGATCAAAGCTTTTAGGCCCTAATGCGATCTGTTATCTATATCAGTGATTCGAGTAATCTGATTTCGAATTTCCAATATTTTCAGTTTCAATTGGTATTCATTAACGACAGTGTCCATCATACATTTTGCATCGCAATAATCACTAAGCAACTCTCGC